CATCTTATTACATGTATCCTACTTGGTGTTTCATAGATCCATTAGCTTCCATCCTTCCCTTCCACCAGTTTTCCTATTCCATTCTATAGTTTACAGATTCTTTAATTATAAATTATACCATGACATGAGATTTATTTCAATCCTGCCAACGTTTTCATATTTGTACAATTCTCACTTATATAAACCATAAATTTACTCCATTCTTTTTGGTACTTTGTCTCCTCCGGATTGCGAATTCTGTGTGTCAATTTAGCCATCTCAGCATACTCAACCAACTTTATCTGCCATTCTCTTATTGTCGGCATCTCCTGTTGCTTTCCACTTTTGAGCTATCAAAACTCTGGCTGCAGTTGTTGCATATCAATATAATCTTTGATCTATCTTTTTAATCCCTTCTCCCACCAAACCTAGCAAAAATTCTTCCGGCTTTTTGGGAAAACTGTACTTAAACATCTTTTTTAACTCGTTGTAAACCGCATCCCAAAACTCTTTTATTTTATTGCAAGACCACCACATATGATAGAAGTCGCTGTCTTTTTCCTTGCACTTCCAGCAGGTTTTACTACTTGTTCTATACATTTTTGCCAATTTGGTGGGAGTGAGATACCAATGATAAACCATCTTCATAACATTTTCTTTTAAGGCAGAACAAGCAGTGAATTTTATGCTCTCATTCCAGAGTTTGGCCCATACATCATATTCTATGTTATGTCCTAAATCAATGGCCCACTTTATCATAGCCTCTTTTATAAATTCATCTTTTGTGTTCCATTCTAGTAAGAGATTGTACATTTTTGATAATAGCTTGAATTTACTCTCTAAAATATCTATTTGAAATTTCGATTTTTTATTCTCAAATCCTATTTTTTTTATCCTCTTTAAAGACATCATTGACTTGATGGTATTGCAACCATCCTGTCAATTTTTCAGCAATACACTCATAGGGCTTTAATTTCCAACCTTTTTCGGCCTTCATCAAAATTTCCTCATATGTGGTCCCTCTCCCTAGTATGTTCAGTTTTTTAACTGTTAATATATCAATTGGTGACAGCCACCACGGTGTTTTCCTTTCCAACAAATTCTTGTTTCTTTCCCAGACTTCAAATAAGGCACCTCTTATCACATGATTTGTAAACCCCTTATGCACTTTTGCCTTACCACACCAAAGATAAGAGTGCCATCCAAATCCATTGTTGAACCCCTCCAAATCTAACAAGTCTAGGTTCTCCTGAGTTATCCAGTCCTTTGTCCAACATAAACATGCCACTTCATAATAGAGTTTCAGAACACGTACTGCGAACCCCCCCCTTTCCTTCTTATCTGTCAATATTTTAAATTTAATTCTTGGTCTTTTCCCTTGCCATGTAAAACGCGAGAGAGTTTTTTGCCACTCTTTGAATTGTCTTAAACCTCTTATTATCGGAATTGTCTGGAACAAAAACATTTTCGGTAGTAGATTCATTTTGATCGCAGACATTCTTCCCGTCATTGATAGCTTTAATATGTCCCATATTTCTAATTCTCTTTTAATCTCCTTCCAGACTGGTTGATAATTGTCATTAAAAAGATTTATATTCTTTGCCGTCATCCAAATTCCCAGATACTTCCCCTTCTCCAAAGCTCCTCCCTCTCCCACTTCCCCATGGGGGTCTCCCACACCACCCACTACTCACCAGGATGGCTTTGGCCGCCTCCTGCTTGGAGCAGTTCTGGGTTCAGAGCCCCCTGAGCTGAGCTGCCTGGCAGTTCTGAATCACCTCCAGCAGGTACAGCTGATCTTCCTCCAGCAGCTGAAAGGCAAAAGTCAGGCTGTCAGTTCCTCACAAAGGGAGGGCTTCTCCACATCCGAGAGTGCAGAGTGGGGGGCAAGGAGGGCAGGTCTGAGTCCCTGCTCTGGTTCTTTCCAATACTCACCCCTGAGGGAGGGATGTGCAACCACAGCACATCTGCAAAGAGAAGGACATGGGGACAGGTGAGTCCGTCCCTGAGCACCTGGCAAGGCTATTCCAAGAGTTTTCTCCTGGATTCCAAGTCCTACTGCAGGGGAGGAGGGACATCCCAAGCCTTGGGGGCCAATCCTGGCCTCCTTCAACCAGAATGTGGCTCCCCAGGCCAGGGGTAGGCAAGCTTCTCAATCTGGCCTGCGGACAATTCGGGAATCAGGGGGGCCACCAGGTGGCGCGTTGGAAGATGGCCGACAATAACATCTCTCTGACCCATACGAGGTACTAAGGGGCTGCTATGGGAAGTATGCAGCCTTCCTAATCCCCCCAGGATGCGGGGGGACACTGTCCTGCCAGCTGTGTTCACAATGCACCCCCTGATACGAGTGATGGGGTTGCTGAACACTTGGCACAGGCCCTCGGTGAAGTCAGATCTTCCTGACGCCGATTCCAATCAGCGCGTGCTGGTTGCTTCAGCTGGAATTATAATTGGAAACATATGATTGGAAATGAAGCTGAAAGCGCATACATCAAGTAAAGCTCGACTGATAAGACTGCTGATTAATGGATCTCTGCGACCAGGAGTGACGGACGGATAAGTAAATCTTCTGATGAATTACCATAAGGAGACTGTATGTTTGGAACGAAGGGGGGGGTGGTGGAGGAAAAAACTCTTTTTTTCTCTCTGCGTGATGTGACATTAATAACCCTTCACCCCAAATAGAAACAAGATCGTCACGTTTTTATGAATCATAGGCAGGAGTTTAAGAACTATGTGGGATGGAGTATAACAGGAAAGAAGACTGGAGAATGGTGAGAAAAGAGGAAAATTTTTATGACGCAGTTAAAAAATGGCGTCTCGCCAAGACAGGCTTGTCGGAGGAAGAAGGACTGGGGGAGGAGAATCAGGATTGTTCGAATGAGAAGGAATGCTGGAATGCAAGTTTGACCTGACAGAACCCCCAGACTCATTTGATTTATTTGGTAAGCCTGAGAAAAATAGAGGACAGATCGGATATTAATTTTGTTTATGGAAGCATTGTACAGAGGCTGTCCCTGATCGATATGATTTTTGGAAGAGTACAAAATCCACATAGAATGCCAGCTTTTAACCTGCCTGTGAAAATCATCAGAGATCGCAAAGAAAGGAATTTATGATAACAACAAGAAGAAAAAGGACTATTCGGATCAAACTGGACAGAACTGTCTAATTAAAGCAGTAAGATAAGTGATGCTGTTTTGGACTCGAGCTGAGCTTGATGTATGGGTACCCCCAACAAAATTTAAAATTTGGCTGTATAATTTGGAATTAATGTGATATGGATAATGTGATGTGATTGGCCTGTTAATAAAAATTATTTTTTTTTTAAAAAAAAAAGACAATTCGGGAATCAGTGTGTTTTTACATGAGTAGAATGTGTCCTTTTTTCTAAAATGCATCTCTGGGTTATTTGTGGGGCATAGGAATTTGTTCATCCCCCCCAAAAAAATGTAGTCTGGCCCCCCACATGGTCTGAGGGACGGTGGACCGCCTCATGGCTGAAAAAGGTTGCTGCCCCCTGCCCCAGGCTAACAAGACGGTCAATCTCCGGTTCCACTCCACCCTTTTAAAATTAAAATAACAAAATAGATCCCATCTCTCAGAGCATGTAAACCACATGAGTGGAAAGACCCCTGTGCCACTTACAGAAATAGGACTATACTTCCTTCTACCACCTTTAAAGTAAACGTCTATGTAACAAAACCAAATCGACCCAAGTCTGCCTTCCTCCACCAACCTGAACATCGCTCTTCAAGCCAAAAGAAAACACTTCCCTGTCCCCGGGCGAAACCCCCTGGCCTGCCATAGGTAGAGCTGCCACCACGCTAGTGGCGTTTACCTCCGCGCAATGTAGGGACTGACTGAGCGGGTGGCGAGATGCTTTCAGCCCCGGACACTTGGCGGGTACTGAAGGGGCCGTGCAGGCCAGATTCACGACCCTGGCGGGCTGGATTTGGCCCAGGAAACATAGTTTGAGGACCCCTGGCCTACACTGACTGGCAGCAGCTCCCCAGAGTTTCAGGCAGGGATTTCGTCTGGCCCTTGCAGGAGATGTCAGGGGTTGACCCTGGGACATTCTGCATGCCAAGCAGATGCTCTACGGCTCCCCATATTTCACTAGCCTTTCAACGTTATGCTATTAGCAACAGTGGAGATTCCACCTCCCTCTTTCGAAAGGAGAAAACTCACCTGATCAATTTAATAAATAATAATAATAATAATTTATTTATACGCTGCCCATCTAGTTGGGTTTCCCCAGCCACTCTGGGCGACTTCCAACAAAATATTAAAATACAATAGTCCATCAAATATTAAAAGCTTCGCTAAACATAAAAATCAATTTTCAGTCCATTGAATTAGCAATTAAGCAATTCTCGAAAGGGAAATGGCATACTTTTGTATATTAGCAAAAAAAAAGCAAGTATAGGCAAGTATTACTCATTTATGACGAGAATAGGATTTATTTATTTTGAACTTTGCTGGGTTCCTCCTTGGCAGCCAGTGCGATTGCTTCAGCAGGGCTAGAACTCAGGACCCGCTGCCTTGAGAAACATCTAAGAGCAGTTGGGCAGGGGAAAGGTCTCCCTTGGGAGGTGGTGGACTCTCCTTCCTTGGAGGTTTCTAATCTGCGGCCATCTGCCATGGATGCTTTAGCGGAGATTCCTGCATTGCTGGGGGTTGGACTAGATGACCCTGGGATCCCCTCCTATCTCTCCACTCCGGAATTCTAGGAGGAGCTTCCTTGCCTCCTGCAAAGCCCTTTTCCCTGCAAGCTCTTCCTCTGGTTTCTGGCCAAGGGAGGGAGATGCTCAGAGTCCAACCAAGAGTCACCCCCAAAACGATATCTGGGGATTGGCTTAGCCAGGGGGGCACCTAAATGCATAAAAAATAATAAAAATCTGAGGATCTGCCAAGCGAGAGAGGGCTGAGCTGGAGGGACTCGGCTTGGCAAGGGTTAAAGGGAAGTGAGCTGCCTTCCTAGAGAGGCCAGGAAGCAAGAGGGGGCCAGGTCCTCCAGAGCCAAGGCCCCTCCCTCCCCAGTCCTGTCCTTGCTTTGGGGTCTCTCCTGCAAGGGCTGCCTCGCTGTCCCCTCCTGGGATCTGGTGAGTCTCCTCTCTCTCCCCCCAGAGGGTGCAGTGGGGAGACGGGGGGGGGTCCCAGGGCTGCAGCAGGGGAGGATGCCTGGGGGGCCTGATCCGGGAGGGGCCAGGTCTGCCACGCTCTCCTTCCTGGAGATCTCAGGATCCCAAACTCATTTGGCCCTCCCCCCCCTTTAAGAAAAAATCTCCCTTTTTAAAACAAAGGAGTCCCAGGGACTTTAACTCTGTGTGACATCGCTTGGCCTCATTGCACAACAGAGGAAACATGTGCAAATGGTTTTCCAAAGCTGGACGAGGAGGTGGACTAGCCCCCCCCCCCCAAAAAAAGAACAACGGGGAGGAAGGACGTTAAGGTGGGAAAGAAAGGCCAGGGATAAAGAGAGGGATCCCAGCCCATAGTCTGGCCACTGCATTGGGGAGCAGTTTCCCAGTGTCTCCAAGGGCAGCTCCACACGGCCACGGCAGCCATCCCCTTGCACCCAGAGCATGGCATCCCAGAACCACATCCTCTCTGCCCCAAAGGGATTATTGCTGGAAAACCACCTGGAAATCGGCGCTCCTACTCACTGAGCCTCCAGGGACCTTGGCATCAGTGGCTGTGTGTGTGTTAATAATAATAATAGGAAGAAGAATATAAGAATAAAAAATTACCCTCCTAAATTTCAAGGGAGATGTCTTTGGCCCTGCCCACTTGGCCCTCAGGGGGTTGATCAGATACATACCTGGCCCTCAGAGCAAAAAAAAGGGGACCCCACCCCAGAAGTCTATTCTGAGAGTGGCAGAGAGTCCAAGTGCAAGAAAAGGAGACGGAAGCAGCGGAGTGGGTGTAGGTGTGGGGGGCAACTCCTGAGGACCCCCACTAGAGCCAAGCATCCATTTTTCACAAGATAGAAACAACTCGTTTGTCAGTAGGTTCCGACGTCATCAATTGACTGGAAGGATGGGGAAACCAGGTTGATTAATCTCTCAGAAATCCGTTCAGTTGCCTCCACATTTTGCATTGCTAGAAGGCTAGAGACTTGTTTCTTCTCTTTCAAAAAGATAGCTCATGGTCTGGGATGTGGTGCAGTCATGCTTGCTCAGGGAACCATTTCCCCTCCTGTCCTACAAATTCTGTAACAGAACAATGTATTTGCTTTGTAGGATTTGCTAGAGCTTCTCATTTAGACAGACAGAACTTGGCAGAAGACCAAAGGGTTCCTTCCGATCTCTCAGAGGCTTCCTGAGAGCACAGATGGATGAGCAAGACTCGGCTGGCCCTGAAGCAGGAAGAGGCCATGCCAGCCAAACTGGGAGCAGTGGGGGATTCTGGGAAAACTCTGTGCAGAAGATCCATGGTGAGGTGGACACCCTCCGCTCAGAGGTGCAGAGCCAGCAGTTGAGGCAGTTCTGCTGCCAGGAGGCCAAAGGACCCCGAGAGGTTTGCAGCCGACTCTACCACCTTGACCATCAGTGGCTGAAGCCAGAAAGGCACACGAAAGCTGAGATGCTGGACCTGGTGATCTTGGAGCAGTTCTTGGCTGTCCTTCCCCTGGAGATGGAGAGCTGGGTGAGGGACTGCGGAGCGGAGACCAGTTCCCAGGCGGTGGCCCTGGCCGAAGGTTTCCTCCTGAGTCAGGCAGAGGAGAGAAAGCAGGTGAGAGAGACTTTCCTCTGGATACTCCCAAGGGGCTCCAAACAGGACAGAGAACATCCCATAATGCTCTGCTGATGGCCCATCCTTTTCCTGGGAAAGCATCCATGGAATGAGATCTCACACCCTTCAAGTCTTTGTCATTCTCTTTCTAGTATTTCTCCCCATTCTCTGGTTTGAATCATTGTGTTTTTTTTCAGGGAAAGGATCTCTTTGCAGAAATGGACCTGGATTCCTGTGAGGCAGAGAGGCCTCCGTTGGACACCAGAGAGAGGCCACTGGGTAAGGAGGAAGGTGGTTTTTCTCCACTGGTCTCATTCTGTTGGTTTTCCAACTCATCTGAGGGTTTTTTAATCTTGTTTTGGGGATAGATGGTTGGGAATAAGGGTCCAGAGGAGGGGAGATGTATTTCTGCACAAACAAACATATGAAATGGGCACAAACCTCCAAATACTCTCAGTAGGTAAGTCCTTCTCAAAGGCCCATCTGTAGTTAGAGATGCCCTGTTTCACCTGTGAGAGAAGCCGGCACTCCTGGTGTCCTGCTTACCTTTTTTCTCTTGCAGGTGGCAGAAGGATGCCAGCAAGACCTCCTGATCCGCCTTTTCATGGGGGCAGAAGGGAAGCAGCGGCTGTGGAACCAGATCAGGTCAGGGGAAGCTGCCTTGTGGCGACAGAGACCGAGGGATGGAGCAATGTCATGGACTGGTTGGGCACAGAGGAATGGTGGGAGGATGCAACTGGGGAACCAGGAAGGAAGATGGCTGAGAGCCCAAGAAGTAGAGGTGAAGAAGGATGGGTGGTCAGAGGGGGAAGAGGGAGAAGCCTGGGAAGAGGAGGTGTCAGAAGCTGAAGGGGAAACAGAGCTTAGTGAGCTGGGAGACTCTGTGGCAGAATGCAGTGCAGAATCAGAGGCAGAAGAGGAAGGAGGCAAGTGGGAGAGGAAGGTCGAGAGGCTGATGTGAGTCAGGAGAAGGAGGAGCCACCGGTGGCTCCCTCTCCTTTTGCCAGAAGCCACCCTCCCTGCTTGTCTCTCAGAGCCAGGAGACCCCCTGCAATGCAGGAATCTCTGCTAGATCATCCAAGACAGATGACCATTCAAAATAGGCTTATTTTATTTCTAGATTGATCACTGAATGCTAAAATTGTTTTCTAAGCAGTGGACAAATGAGAACAAATAGTGGCCTGGATTCACCTAACCAGCCCCATCGGCTGCAAAATGGGGCCTGCCTCCCATTCCTCCCCCTCCCCATTCCTCCATGAATCCCTTGAATTTGGCTCTAGGGCATTGGGAGGGAACTCCCCAGAAGAGCTCACGAGGAGAAGAGAATGTGGATCCTTCCATTGGGGAAACTGGAATGCTTGCCTAGGCAGAATGACTTGAATAACACAAGGTGGACTACAACCTATTTGCACAAAAACGAATACCCATAATTAAAATGCAGAGTAAAATAAGCATCCATAAATAAAATGTGCAGCAAAGCAATCCTATTGAAACAACACTGCAATTTACAGGAAGGAAACAACAGAGCATTGTGTAGCAGATCATATTTCTGCTGTCTCAGAGGAGGACATTTCCCTTTTTCTTTTAGGGTCCAGTGTGCTTTGAAGATGTCGCTGTTCGTTTCACGGACGAGGAGTGGACGTTGCTGGATCCTAACCAGAGAGCTCTGCATAAGGACGTCATAGAGGAGAATTGTGGGATCGTGGCCTCTCTTGGTAAGGCTCCCTGTGGGATCGTCATATCTGCCTGGAAATTCAAAAAATACCTCTATGGACCAACCTCATATATTTTCACAGAGCTCAACAGCGCCCCCTACAACACCTGGGAACCTAACACCCCCACAATAAAGAGTAAATTACAGTTTTTTCTTTGAACAGCCTTCCTCAAATTATTCCTTTTTCTACCACGATTGGGCTGGTCTCAACTGCCCAGGCCATCTTAAATGTCAGCTTCAGAATTGTTAGGAAAGATAAGTAGCTTCAGGTTTTCCGCTTTTGTTTTTGCTGCTGTCAGTCTTGGGTTGACCAAAGAGACGACTGACATTGGAGATGGAGGGGATGCCATGACTGGGCCAAGCAAAATTCATCCCAGAGAAGAGCTAGACTTATTGAATTTCAGGTAGAAGTAGCAGTGGTGGTGGTGGTGATGATGATGATGATGATACAGTGGTACCTCGGTTTACAAACTTTCCGGAACAGGACTATTCTTAAATCAAGGTACTGTAGTAATAATAATAATTTATATTTATACCCTGCCCATCTGGCTGGGTTGCCCCAGCCACTCTGGGCAGCTTCCAACACACATATAAACATGAAACATAAATAATAATAATCTGATTCCATATAAAAGAACATTAACTTTAAAATGAACAACTTCTCCTAGTGGCCGAAATTGTGGAAACCTTTTGTGAAAAGTGTATTTCTGAGGTTTGATGGCTCATAACACCACTTTTGTGTGGAGTAATACCATAAAATTATATAGCAATGGAAAGATAATTTAATGAAGAATGTAATGCGATGAATTTTATGAAGGAGTATTTATTACAACAGCAGTCATAAAGAAAAAACGTGAAACCTTTGGTAACCATTGGTAACCTTTAGCTTTAATTACGGCCTTACAATGCCTTCCCATGAAGTGAACCAAGTTTTTAGTTCTGCAGCTGTAATAATGTGAAACCAAGACTGAATTATTGGCTCTGTTAATTGGGCTTTATTGCTGGGTTGCTTCTGAATAACAAGTTTCTTTAGTCGGCTCCATAGATTTCTGATTGGGTTAAAGTGTGGGCTATTCCCAGGCCATTCCAGCAGTGAAATATCATTATCTTGAATACACCTTTTGCACACAGCAGCAACACGACATAGAGCTGAATCCTGTTGAAAATATATAAATGCTTAGGTATCTGGGAAAAGATCACCTGCGGAACACTTCAGTTTGGGCTCACATATTTCGTTTATGCATTTTTCCGCATTTATATTCCCATTAATGACTCAAATTCTGCCCACACCTTTTGCTGCCATACAACCCCAGATCATCACACTGTCTGGGTGTTTCACGGTCAGTGTAATGCAAGTAGGATGTAAATGTTATCTGATTCTTCTCGGGTATTTCATGCCATCACTACCAAGCAAGGAGATTTGGGTCTCATCGCTCCAAATAACACCGCCCCATTGTTCCACTGTCCAGTTAACATGGGTTTCATCTTTTCAACCTTTGCTTGAGAGATAACAATGGCTTTTTCTTAGAATTCTAATTTAGACCAGTCCCTGCACTCAGCTTCCCATTACATTGCGCCATGTCATCTTGTATACACCCAGATGATTTTCTTCTGTCATGTAGGCACAGTCTCTCCACTCATCCATCGTCACTTTTGTAGTGACTGAGTCTCCTTATACCTCTTCAAAAATATAGAAAGGCCAACTTTGGTTAAGTTTTCCCCAATCTCTCTTCTAATTTCTTCATAACTGTAGCCTTGCTCACTTAATAGTACAATCTTACATCACTTTCTGGGGACCACTCAACTCCTTGTGCCATTTCTATAATTTTATTATGTCTTACACCCTCACTAAATGAAAAAACACAAAAAACCAACCAACTTGATGGCAATCACATAACACACTAAAAGTCAACCAAAGCAGGTTGTGCTTCCTTTTTCTGGTTATTTGGCTATAACGTTTGATAGAATACGGGTAATTGAACAAACTTTGTTGGATTGCATTCTTGATTGCATTTTTGATCAAATTATCTTTCCATTGATATATAATTTTATGACATTACTCCAAATGAAGTGGTGTTATAAGCCATCAAAACTCTGAAATACACTTTTTTCCAAAAGTCTTTCACAATTTTGACCACTGCTTTATATAAACAAAGCAACATTCAACAACTCATCCGAATCTCATATTAAACAAACAACACAGGTAATGAACACACACGCAACTCCCTTCAGTTCTTCTCCAATTGTTCCTGAGGCTCTAATCCCTTTTTGTCCCCAATGCAGATTGTTATGAATTGGAAATCGAGAACAAAGGTGACCACGAAAAAATCCCCAGAGAGGAGAAGCCACAAAAAAATTTGGAGTATGGAGAAAGCTGCAGTCAGAGCTCCAATTCCACTTCCCATCAACAAAATCTCATTGAAAAGAAACTCTATCAGTGTGTGGAATGTGGAAAGCACTTCAGTCAGAACTCCAATCTCACTTCCCATCAAAGAATTCATACAGGGGAGAAACCCTGTCAGTGTGTGGAATGTGGAAAGAGCTTCCGTCAGAGCTCCCATCTCACTTCCCATCAAAGAATTCATACAGGGGAGAAACCCTATCAGTGTGTGGAATGTGGTAAGAGCTTCACTCATAGCTCCTCTCTCACTTCCCATCAAAGAATTCATACAGGGGAGAAACCCTATCAGTGTGTGGAATGTGGAAAGAGCTTCACTCATAGCTCCCATCTCACTTCCCATCAAAGAATTCATACAGGGGAGAAACCCTATCTGTGCGTAGAATGTGGAAAGAGCTTCAGTCAGAGCTCCAATCTCACTTCTCATCAAAGAATTCATAAAGGGGAGAAACCCTATCAGTGTGTGGAATGTGGAAAGAGCTTCACATGTAGCTCCACTCTCACTTCCCATCGAAGAATTCATACAGGAGAGAAACCCTATCAGTGTGTGGAATGTGGAAAGAGCTTCACTGATAGCTCCTCTCTCACTTCCCATCAAAGGATTCATACAGGGGAGAAAGCATATCAGTGTGTGGAATGTGGAAAGAGCTTCACTCACAGCCACAGTCTCACTTCCCATCAAAGAATTCATACAGGGGAGAAACCCTATCCGTGCGTAGAATGTGGAAAGAGCTTCACTCATAGCTCCCATCTCACTTCCCATCAAAGAATTCATACAGGGGAGAAACCCTATCCGTGCGTAGAATGTGGAAAGAGCTTCAGTCAGAGCTCGTCTCTCACTTCTCATCAAAGAATTCATAAAGGGGAGAAACCCTATCAGTGTGTGGAATGTGGAAAGAGCTTCACTCATAGCTCCCATCTCACTTCCCATCAAAGGATTCATACAGGGGAGAAAGCATATCAGTGTGTGGAATGTGGAAAGAGCTTCACTCACAGCCACAGTCTCACTACCCATCAAAGAATTCATACAGGGGAGAAACCCTATCAGTGTGTGGAATGTGGAAAGAGCTTCAGTCAGATCTCCACTCTCACTTCCCATCGAAGAATTCATACAGGAGAGAAACCCTATCAGTGTGTGGAATGTGGAAAGAGCTTCACTGATAGCTCCTCTCTCACTTCCCATCAAAGGATTCATACAGGGGAGAAAGCATATCAGTGTGTGGAATGTGGAAAGAGCTTCACTCACAGCCACAGTCTCACTTCCCATCAAAGAATTCATACAGGGGAGAAACCCTATCAGTGTGTGGAATGTGGAAAGAGCTTCACATGTAGCTCCTCTCTTACTTCCCATCAAAGAATTCATACAGGGGAGAAACCCTATCAGTGTGTGGAATGTGGAAAGAGGTTCAGTCAGAGCTCCAATCTCACTCAGCATCAGAGAATTCATACAGGGGAGAAACCCTATCAGTTCGTAGAATGTGAAAAGAGTTTTACTGATAGCTCCAGTTTCACTAGGCATCAGAGACTTCATACAGGGGAGAAACCCTATCAGTGTGTGGAATGTGGAAAGAGCTTCAGTCAGAGCTCCTATCTCACTTCCCATCAAATAATTCATACAGGGGAGAAACCTTATCGGTGTGTGGAATGTGGAAAGAGCTTCACTGTTAACTCTAAACTTACTTCCCACCAAAGAATCCATACAAAGGTCAGAAAAACCATTATACAGCTTTAGGAGCCAGGCAAATCCGCACCTTTTTAACCAGGCCTTTTTCTTATTGACATCTAATGCTAATTTACCACGTGATGTTTTGTGTTTTTATGTTGTGTTTTTATGTTCTAAGCATTCTGAGACTTGTGGGTGTAGGGAATACAGCCACTCTTAAATTCCTAGGGGTTTTTGCCTCCCATAAAATATATGTGTTTGCTTGGTACATTTATATGCCTTCGTGTAAATCTTAAGAGACTTGCATGTCAGGCCTCTTAAGGCTATTTGCCAGTGTAGCAGTGCACATAGCTGGACATAGGATATCACATAAAAAATAACACGTTGCATTTTGTACTAAATTACTTGTGGCATACTTGCAGTTTGGGAGAAACATTCTCAATAGTGGTCTATGCTTTACACTTAGCGAGAAGGTCAAATAATGAGTGAAAAATGCAGTTTGTTTTGTTTCTGCCTTTTTTGTGTGTTCCCAGGTGTCAAAGCTAGCTCTCGTCTGGTTTCACACCTCCATCATATTACAGCAGCAACAATCCCTGGTGAATCCCTGTAGGGCTTTCATATTGACCATGTCACCTTGTAGTGGCACAGGTTTGGACATTTCTTGAGAGAGATGTCTTTGCCTTGGTCTTTCTATGGGATTTTTATTATAATAGGCTCTGGTCTTCCACTCTACGGAAGTTGCTCAGTTGTTCCTAAGGGACCAAAAAGCTAATTGCAGCCTGGATACACTTGCCCAATTCCAACGGAGTCAAATTAGAATTTATATAGCCCCATGGCTCGCCGATGTGGAGTTCCAGCCCCACCTGGTGGCGGCGGTCGGCCTGGACCTTGTACGCATCCTTGGCCTGGTGCAGTTGCTCCATCAATAGTTGGTGCTGAGACTGGAGCTCCTGGAACCAATCTGTAAGCAGATGCTGGCAGCACGTCCAGGAACAAACGCGGATGGTAACCGTCCATGGCCTGAAACAGGGTCTGCTCGGTGGAGGCGTTCACCGCGTTGTTGTAAGGGAATTCCTCCAATGCCAAGTGGTTGACCCAGTCTGGAGGTACTCCAGGTTCCGGTGGTCAGTTCTCACATCCGCCAGGTGTCTTGCCCCCTCAAGATGATTGCCCCAGACCTCAAAGGCCACCTTGATGGCCAGTAGTTCTCGCTCCCACACGGTATAGTTACACTCTGCCAGAAGAAGCTGGCAGGAATAGTAGGCGCAGAGTAACAGCAGCGCATCAGGACCGTGCTGCTGGGACAAGACAGCACCGAGAGCCGTACTGGAGGCGTCGGTCTCCACCACGAAGGGACAAGAAGGATTAGGATGCTATAAAAGTGGCGCCCTCTGGAGACAGGCTTTCAACCCCTGAAACGCCACCTCTGCCTCCTTGTCCCAGGAGAATGGTGTCTTGGGGCACAGCAGTCGGGTCAGCGGGGTGGCGCGGTGAGCATAGTCCACAATGAAGGTTCAGTAATAGTTGGCGAACCCCAGGAACCGCTGTAGGTCCTTGCGCTTCCGGGGTGCCTGTGAGAAGAACCTGAGCTTACAGGGTTAAACAGCTCAGACTGTACGCCCTGCCTACTAGTGGGAGGGGGGAAATGCTACGTCAGTTCCGAGAGACTAAAGTCTTTGTTCTGTCTCTCTACTTTCGCTTTAGAGGAGAGAGGACGTGTTTTCGCGATGCTGTTCGCTGTGATAGATAATGGATAGCCTGCTGTAAATAAAACTGCTTTTAGCTGCTAAGATCCTGTGTGGACTTTATTTAAGCACACTGAAGAAGGCACTGGAGTTTTTTTTTTGTTTCCTCTTACCGCTGTTGAAACTCTGCTATGCTCAGATGAGTCGGACTCTTGGAATGCCGAGACTCTTGGGGGAAGCGTGCCGGACCTCACGCTTATCTGAGCAATAAATCAAGATATCTCAGAGTGCCGCCCACTCCTGAACTGCTGCCACCTTCCCGGAATCCATCTGCACCCCATCAGGGGGAGAGTTGGTGACCGAGGAAGTCCACCGACCCCTGGTGGAACTTTCACTTGCTGAGCTTAGCATACAGGCATTGCTCTCGCAAGCGCTGCAACATGGACCGGACATGACCCTCATGGCAAGTTGGGTCGTGGGAGTAAATCAGAATGTCATCTATTATTTTTTTTAAATGATATTTATTAAAAATTTTAAGATTAGAAAGAAACAAAGAAAACAAGAAGGAAAAGACAAGTAACATGTAAACAATACAAATGCATAAAAAATCAAAGTCAAAAACAAAACAAAACAAAACACATAATACATCAAAATCAAAAAGCAAAAATAAACAAAAAATTTAAAAACAGATCCAATATTCCCAAATCATTAACTGTCATTACCTTATTTCATCGACCTCCTCATACCTCCCTTTTTTGTATTCTAGTCAGCATTCTGTATTCTGTATCTCAGCAAATCTTTTCCATCTTTCATAATATTCTGTCATTAAATTACCTTAATCTATTTTAACCTTATCTTACCATAAAAAGCCCTAAAACTTAAAACTTAAATCTTGTTTATACCAAATTCTCTTAACCATGACATATTCTTACATAATTCTTTTTAACATTTCTGCTAAAACCAAATAATTTCATTCCAACATTTTTCTAATACTCTTTACTTTTACAAGATTTTCCTAAATAAATTGTTTAAAACTTTCTTCCAATCTTCATCCAACGTCTCTTCCTCCTGGTCTCGGGTTTTGTCAGTCCTTTCTATCCCGTCCATCTAGTCCATCAACCTGGTAACCTTATGTCCGAGACCCTTAGATCTCTTCCATGTCCCTTCCGCAGATCTTCTTCATATTTATACCTGTACTTTACTTTGTCTTCTGCTCCTTTCACTCGGGGAGACTCTAGCTTGACAATATTTTTGTCCCTTCTCGACAGATCAGCCCCTTTTCCATAGTCAACACTGAACTCCATGTGGTATTTAAAAGCATATTTCAAGGTCCCTTCAAAGTTAAGGGCCCCCACAACTCCGATCTCCTCCCGGCCCAAAGCCAGACTTGAAAGGTCAAAACATCCCTGCATAGGGGGATCTATCCAACCCCCCATCTCCAAGCCAAACAAAACTCTGTCTCTCCAAATCTGGCTTTTTCCAGGTTCATTTGTCAAGTCCAACAACTCAAGTTCCTGCTGGGCCACAGTTCCCTCCATCTCTGCCTCACGAGGTCCAGCAACAACCTCCTCCCTCATCTGATCTGTCAGAGCACACTCCTGGATTAATTCCTGAGTGGGTTCTATATAGGCACCCACTGTCTGTCCAAAATTTCCGATCCCAACAGTCATCAAATCCATCTTCTTATGTAACTGTTCCAATAAAGCACTTGTCTTGCAAAAGGCAAGCACCAGAGCCTCCGAGTACATTCTTGTTCAAGGTCAGAGTCTGATCCCACGATCTTAATCTATTGCAGCTGCAAAGCTCCCCAGTTCGGATTTAATAACAGTTTCACAAGCTCCCTCTAGGGGAAAAAGCTTCTATTTGTATCCATCTCTCTCTCTCTTTTTTTTTAAAGCAGATCTAACAACAAAGTTTCCTTTTTCAGATATTTTGTCAATATTTTGTTCCTTTTAGATGCGAAGGGGAACAATGGAATCAATATGTTTCTCTTCTTTTAACTATCTGTCTAAAACGTTTGTCTGTAGTCAATGAACTTCCCGAGGACGTCTGTCCTGACACCCAGCTCCCAGGTTCAAGACGGTGGAGAATTGCTTTTCTTTATTCTCTCTTCTGCAGGTTTAAACAGTCCAGAAAAAGTTCCCCCCTCTTCTCCTGCTTCCAAGGGGGGTTCAGTAATTTTAAATGATGAAAATTGATCCTTTACAGACGACTTTCTAAACTCTAGCTTGCCGTGTCTTTGCTTCAATCTATCTACAAAAAGCGGAAGGCAGACTTCCTGTTTAGACCTTCCCGCTTCAGTGCCAAATTAAAAGAAATTTCTTAATCCAATTTTCCATTCTACTCACGGGCAGTTATTTAAAGTCCAATTGTCCACAGGAAAAAGTCAGCGCTCTCCGGCAACAGCAATGCGGCTTAACTCCGTGAAAGAAGCAGTCGATTCAAGGCACCGCGCCACTCACCCCACGTTGCTCCGGATCCCCGAAACCGGGTTTCCCCTAAAAGGTGCCAGCCGAATCCCACGTCCACAGGCTTCTCCCGCCTGTGGTTTTTGATGGGTCTCCGCCTCGCCGTGGCGGTTCAGACCCTGTTTTCCACGGAGCGGATTCCTCCCGATCGGAGGAAATCCGCCATTGCCAGAGGTGCCAACCCGGAAGTCCTTTTTTTTAAAAAAACACAATGTCATCTAAGTACACCACCACGTACTTGTCTAGCAAGACCTGGAACACGTGGTTGATGTACCGTTGGAACACGGCAGGCGCATTGCACAACCCGAAAGGCATTACCAGGTATTCGAACTGCCCATACCGTGTCCCAAATGCTGTCTTCCACTCATCCCCGGCTCGGATCCTAATCAAATTGTAGGCTCCCCGAAGGTGCAGCTTGGTGAACATCTGCGCCCCTTGCACCCGCTCCAGCAACTCTGCAATAAGGGGCAAGGGATACCGGTCTGGGATGGTAATATTATCCAGGGCCCGGTAATCATGGCAGGGACGAAGCTCCCTTCACTTCTTAATGAAGAGTACTGGAGCGGCGGTGGGTGTGGTAGAGGGCCGAATGCACCCGCACTCCAGGTTCTTGCGACGGAAGTCCTGCAAGGCTTAGCGCTCTGGCTCCGTAAGAGAGTATAGGCGGCTCACAGGCAGGGTCACTCCGGGCTGGAGGTCTATGCCGCAGTCAGAAGACCAATGAGGCGGCAGCTGGTCTGCCCCCTGTTCCTCAAACACTTCTTGGTAGTCCTGGTAAACCGGGGAGCATTGACGCAGCTTCCCCCGTGGGGGCGGCCACTAGCATCTCAGACCGAGCATGGGGACACAGGTTTGGGAAGCGCACAGTCTGATTGACCCAGTCAATCTGAAGATTGTGAGACTCCAGCCAGTCCATCCCGAGCACCAGGGGAAACCGGGGCATGGTGGCAATGTCCAAGGTGCACACCTCCCGGTGCTGCTGCTGACACAGGACCAAGGGCTGAGTCTCCTGAGTAACGGCCCCCGAGCGCAGGAGCCGTCCGTCAATTGCCTCCACCAGTACCGGTTCTGGCTTGTCCTGGAGTGGCACCTGATGATGGGCAGCGAAGGCAGAGTCCATATAGGAGCGGGTTGCCCCTGAATCTACCAGAGTGTGGGTGAGAATCCAGGGCCCACCAGGGGGATATAGACACACCAGAACTATGAGGTGTTGCAATTCCACCGGTGAGGTCTCATCATGCGATGTTTGGGACCCCAGGTAGCCTGGGCCATTGGCTACTGGGGTTGGCCATTTCCCTGTGGCTGGCGTTTTCTCAGGACAAGATTGGGCATAGTGTCCACTCCCGCCGCAGTAGAGACACAGGTTCCCCTCCAGACTCCGAGTCTTCTCCGAGGGAGAGAGGCGAGGCCGCGCTGCCCCAAGCTGCATTGGCTTCTCCAGCGACTTGGCTGTGGCCGTGGAACTGCTGGGAAGGACCGGAGCCGGGAGCCGGGAGTGCTGGAGGCCCTGAGCCTGGCGACGGTCCTCCAACCGATCGTCTATCTGCAGGCTCCGTTGAATGAGGGTGTCCAGCGTGGCGGGGTGATCCATCATGGCCAGCTGGTCCAGTATCTCATCTGAAAGCCCCTCGAGATACTGGTCCTGAAGAGCAGAGTCATTCCAGGACAAGTCCTGTGCCAACAGCCAAAATTCTGTGGCGTAGGTGGCTTCACTGATAGCTCCTATCTTACTTCCCATCAAAGAATTCATACAGGGGAGAAACCCTATCAGTGTGTGGAAAGAGCTTCACTCATAGCTCCAAACTCACTTCCCATCAGAGAATTCATACGGGGGGGGGGAACCCTATCAGTGCATGGAATGTGGAAAGAGCTTCAGTCAGAGCTCCTCTCTCACTTCCCATCAAAAAATTCATACAGGTGAGAAACCATATCAGTGCTTTGAATGTGGAAAGAGCTTCAGTAAGAGCTCCTATCTCACTTACCATAAGAGAATTCACAAAGGGGAGAAACCCTAACAGTGTGTGGAATGTGGAAAGAGCTTCAGTCACAGCCAGAGTCTCACTTCCCATCAAAGAATTCGCAAAGGGGAGAAACCCTATCAGTGTGCGGAATGTGGAAAGAGCTTCACTGATAGCTCCTCTCTCACTTCCCATCAAAGAATTCATACAGGGGAGAAACCCTATTAGTGTGTGGAATGTGGAAAGAACTTCAATCAGAAATACAGTCTCACTTCCCATAAAAGAATCCATACAAAGGTCAGAAAAACCATTATACGGCTTTTGGATCCTGGCAAATCCACATCTTTATAACCAGGCCTTTAGCTGAATGACATCTACTGCTCTTTTAATATGTGGTTTTTTTGTGCTTTTATGTTTTGTTTTTATGTTGTAACATTCCTGAGACCTGTGGCTGTAGGGAATAGGTGCCAATTATTAAAGGCCTGGGGGTCTTTGCCCCCCCCAATAAAATATTTGAGGAGAACTTCTGGTTGGCCGCCTGATTTATGGCGGACGGGAGCTCTTTGGCCTGAAAGAGCCCCGGCGCTTTGAAGATTGGGGTGAACGTGAGAACGTTGTGGAACCCCGAAAAATACCTCAGATTGAGCATTCTGAGAACCTGGTGTTCCGGCGGGTACCCTTAGCAACTCCCCTGCTCCCCAGTAAGCGCTAGTAAGAGCTCCGAGAGCGAGCGGGATTGGAGACGGTACCGTGGAATCGACTCGCTTCCTTCATTGCGCGAAGCTCCAAAGTCCGGCGATCGTGAGCGACCAATTTCTCGGACTAAATTAAGATTGGAAACTGTGAGTAAAAAGGATTTGCATTTGGACATTAAATTGGACTGGAAGGGATTTAAACACAGAGGTCGATCCCTTTCCGCTGAAGTGAAAGTGAAAGCAGTTACCGCTGACTGAAGCCGTAACTTTAAAAAACTTGCTAAAAACTTTCAAGGAAATATTTCAAGCCCCTCTTTCTGCAGGGGGAAGGGGGGAGAATTTGACTGAATTGGGACCCTGAATGAGATAGATTTGACAGAGAATAGACTCTTGCTTTCTGGAAACAGACCTCCCAGTGAGGAAAGGCTAGACTCCATTATTACGTCACAAAGGGAGAGGATACTTTCAACTTTTGTTTTCCTCTTTGGGGATTACAAAGTAACTGCAGTTGTCTGAACTCGCTGAAACATTGTACAGTGTATCTTTTACCCTCCTGGAATTGATTACAATAGTTCAAATCAATTTTGGATGCTTTTCAATAGGAATAAGAAGAGTAAAAAGAATAAGACTTTAAAAGGGGGAGCTGCTGAGCTGCCTGTTGCTGTCTGTGTACTAAAAACCTGTGGACTGAGTCTGGGTGAGCGGACCTTGAAACTGTGGAATAGTTATGGCTAATGGTGTAGGTAAGCCTGAGAAAAGCAAGCCTAAAGACAGAAGAGGCTCTAAAGCACTAACTTTTGAAGAGTCGGTGATGTAAATGTTGACTGAAATAAAACAGATGGAAGAGGAACCCAACAGGGCGTACAGGAGCTTAAACAAGAATTTGTAGATTTGAAAAAAATTCAAGAAGTCAAGGCAGAAGTTACAGGTCACAAGACAAAATTGTCGGAATTGGAAAGTCCCTGAGAGTCCCTGATGTGGAGAGGACCCAACAGGAAGCGCTCAATGCAATTGCTTTTTTGGCTGGAAGAATCTGGGACCAGAAAGAGGAGGAGACACAAGAAGGTTGGAAGAAATTTAAAGAATATTTAGCTAAATATTGTTATATATGATAATGAGAAGTCACTTGGAAGTAACAAATAGGCTTAGGACTAAAATATGAACGTGTTGTAAAATATGAAGGATTAGAATACTAATAAAAGAGACAAGGATAGTAAATAGGAGATAATTTTATTAGAAATATGATTTTGGAGAACTGTTACAAGGTGATACAATGAAATTCAGTTAGGGGGGACTGGATGAAGTCAGTTAACAATGTAAGGTAAATTGGGTTTTGAAAGTAATAATTGTTTCTATGTTTTTCTTTTGTATTCTAATGTGTTTTCTTTTGTTGTGTGTTGTGTTGCGTAATGTCATTTCTTCTTAGAAATTTGGAAAAGCAATAATTTTTTTTTGAAAAAAATATATTTGAGGAGGCCACCCCCCAGGTTGTTTTTTTTAAAAATGCAACCTTTTGTTCTTCCACAACTTGCCATACAATTTCTCTTTCAATTTGCCCTCTTAAAAAATTAAAAAATAAACGCACAAAGGTCATTAGAAAAACAAAATACAAGAAAATACAAACGTGGACAGGTCCCATCTTTGCGGGACAAACGCAAAAGTTGCTTTAAATCAGGGTTTCCCAAACTTGGGTCCCCAAGAGCTCCCAGACTACAGTTTCCATCATCCCTCCCCATTGGTCCTGCTAGCTAGGGATGATGGGAGTTGTAGTCCAAAAACAGCTAGAGACCCGAGTTTGCTTTAAAGGGAAAGTAGGCCAGCCCTGTGACACCCTCTGTTGGCTAATTGGAATTAATACAGCACAAAACTGAAGTTTGATCAGCACTTCAACCTCTAGGGAGCTTCTAGGTGTTTTCTGCGCCACCTAGAGTACCCACAGAATTGTGGCTTCTACTGGCAACACACACAGGAGAACAAATGAAAGACAAACACAAGGGGCAGGAAAAAACCTGGAAAGGGCCATACCAAATGGACACAGGTAGAGGAGATGAAATGCCAGAAGTGTTCTCCGGGGCAAGGGGAGCTGCTGGGAAATTGAGCTACGGGCTCAAAATATTACTTTTTTAAAAAGTCGCTGCCATTATAGGCATTGCCATTCAAATGGTGTGCATGCATCATGTGATTGATAGTGCAAGGCCCCCCATCAATATTTTATTCAGTTAAGTAGCACTGGGTCGGGTGGTTTCCCAATTTAAAAAATACATAAATCTCCTTCCTTTGCACATATTCCAGCTTGTCAATATCCTCATTTATTCTTTTTAAAATTTATTTGCACTTCTTCTGAAAATTTTACAATATAAACATACAGGATGAAAGCATGGCTTTCTCACAAACAAATCAAGCCAGAGAAATCTCTCCATTTTTATTTTTTTATTTTTTTGGATGGAGTTAGAAACTTTGATCAGGGAACTGCTTTGGAAGTAGTGCATCTTGATTTCAGTAAGGCTTTTGACAGAGTCCTCTGTGAGATTTATGTGAGGAAGCTAGTAAAATGAGGCTGAATGAGGTAACTGTTATGTGGATTTGACTGACCGAACCCAAAGAGGACTCCTTCATGGGTCCTCCTCATCCTGGGGAAAAGTGACAAGAAGGGTGCTGCAGGGTCTTGATAAATGACATGGATGAAGGAAATGAGGGGATTCTCATCACATTTGCACACGACACCAAACGGATCATAATGGCATCCTCTCTCTTCTTCAGCAACAGACAGGGAGACAAAGAACAGTGCAAAAGCACAGCAGAGCGAAAGAGATAAGACTGACTTCCGTTCTTACACTTTCCAAGCCTAGGAAAGTAAACAGGGGCATGTGACATACTAGCCACATATCCAGCAACGGGAGGAGTGAATTGCTAGCACACCACACATGATTGCAGGTGATATAAGGAAAAAAACCTGCTCCTTTTTCCTTATGGGGTACCCAAGAGCCCATATACAGCCCTTTTGTAGGTTCTCTATCGGTAGGAGAAAATTACAGAGACCAACCAGAGAATATTGAGAAGCAAAGCAGCTATTAAGCCTGTTCTTTATTAACTTATTAACACGCAGGAGAGAGGAGGACCCCGAGCCATGCATGAAAGCCCTTATATAGACATTTTTAATTGCCCGCCCTGGAGTCCAAGACCACCCCCAGATACATCATACATACATCAAAGAAGGGGTGTAGCCCAAGACTACCCCCCAGATGCATCATACCTACGTCACAGAAAAAGCGGTCTACAACAGAAATCTGAGTGCGTTGTTTTTACCTTGTCTGCCAGGTTACCTGTAAATGGTCACTTGACTGGATTACCTGGGGAGCCTGGCCATTCTTTTGTAATGATAATACTTCATTCCTGAGCCAGGTCACAGGCTCACCCTATTCACACCTTAAATGTGCCCTTAAGGCAGGATTTGTGAGGACAGAGACAACGGGGAGGTTTCTGCATTTCCTTCGACCTTGTAGAGAAATATTTGAGGTGAGTGAAAGAGTCAAAATGGCTTAAGGGCTTTTCCTGTGGGTTTTGGACATGTGGTTTATATAATTATATCTGTATTTGCTTGGTATATTGAGGAACATTTATATAATATATCCTAAAAAAATATTTTAACCATTTCCCCCTTTAGGGCTATAAATTTTTCTAAAAAATTGTTGCCCCACAAATAATAACCTGGTTTGTTGTAAATGGATGCCTTCGTGTAAATCTTAAGAGACTTGCATGTCAGGCCTCTTGAGAGGTGGTGTAGTGGTTAAGAGCGGTAGTCTCGTAATCTGGGGAACCGGGTTCGCTTCCCTGGTCCTCCACCTGCAGCTGCTGGGTGACCTTGGGCTAGTCACACTTCTCTGAAGTCTCTCAGCCCCACTCACCTCACAGGGTGTTTGTTGTGGGGGAGGAAGGGAAAGGAGAATATTAGCTGCTTTGAGACTTCTTCGGGTTGTGATAAAGCAGGATATCAAATCCAAACTCCTTTTCTTCTTCTTCTTCTTCTTCTTCTTCTTCTTCTTCTTCTCCTCCGCCTCCTCCTCCTCCTCCTCCTCCTCCTCCTCCTCCTCTTAAGGCTATTTGCATGTGTAGCAGTGCACATAGCTGGACATAGGATATCACATAAAAAAATAATACAGCTGAAGTGTAAGGTTCATAAATATGTAAGAAAAGACAGGTATATGCTCCTTTTTGTGTGTCTGTATATATGTGATTGAAACTTCAATCTATTTTACAAGATGTACTATATATATAGAATGTATTGTAAGAATATTAATAAAGCTGGGGGGGGGGAGGAAAGCGTGAGGCAAGGGGGAGGTGGTGCCAGAATTTGGCATCGTACAGGGCAGCACCACCATTTGAGATGCCACGATCCGCCATTGCTCTGACCTCTGGGGTGTGTCCTTTTCTTACCCAGCACCCCAATCTCTGTGCAACAAGAAACTCCAGGGGTGCTTCTCCTTACCCGGGGTTTAGTTTTCTGGGAATGAAGGTTAGCAGAGACTGTGGAGTCTTCAGGATACCTGGTTTTATTTGCACATATATACAACCTGAGCACAGGATGGAGGGGCTCTTAGCACCCCCCCCCCTTACAGATCTTGCTTCTGCATTAGGTTTCCCATAAAGCCCCAAGTCCAGCTTTGGAGTCTGGCACAGAGCAGGAAAGAATTTCAAGAGGGACAAATCTAAGGTCCTGCACACGGAGATCAGATTCTATCCAATTCAGATTTCTTTGTGGGGCAGGTATAGGACCATGAACACTCATCCCAATTTCTTAAAAGTCTTCCCACCACACTTTTCAATGCATTTACCCTTCATTTTCCAAACTGCAAAAAGGCTAGATTATTATTATTTTTTAAGTGGATTTCACAGTTGGGGATGTTTAGCCTGGAGAAGGGGAGACGGAGACATGACTTGAGAGCCGTCTTCAAATACCCAAAGGGCTCCCACATGGAAGATGCAAGAAGCTTGCACCTGCTCCTGCTCTGGAGACAAGGACCCAAATGACTTGTGAGAAAGGAGATTCCAACTAAAGAACTGTCATGCATCCATAATGCTATGGAAAGGGTGAATGTCTTCTAGAATTCTCTTGTGTCACCAGAAGAGGAAGCTGTTCTTTTCAGTTAGGTCTGTTCTCAACTGCAGAGGATGAGTAGCCTTGGGAGTCTCTTGGGGAGATGGAAGTGTTCAAAGGACTGAATCTACTTGCTCTGAGATGGGGGAACTTCGGGCAAAGGCCAGCAGAGAAGGGATGCTGTTGGCCACTAGTTTCTGTTCCTCCCCACTTTCCCAAAGGGCGTAACATCAGAGGTCCTGTGGATAGAAAGAGCATCTCAAAGTCAGGGGCCAGCCTGGGCCAAAGTGGCCCTCCGCTGCCTCCACCACAGAGTCCCTGGCATCCCTTTACCATCTCTGATGCCATCAGGACACTTACGTTAAGCAGGAGAAGGAGGTGCGGAGCATTGGGGGTCTCTGTCAGAGCAGATGATGGAAGTGCCACTTCACTTCCATGTTCAAGCCAGTAGGTCCCCGAAGGGCAAGGAAGGAAAAGAGAGAAGAGATTTTGAGTCCTGAGTGCAGTTGTGGAAGTGTGTGAAGAGGAAGAAGAAAGAGCCATGTCAAGAGAAGTCAAGACCAATGACAAACCTTCCTGTTCACCTCCTGTTCTTCCTTCAGGAGTGTCTCAAACCTCCTGCGGACTATTGCACTGCAGAGGTCGGAGAAGTTTGGATTATGGGCGCTCGTAAAAACGCCCCAGGCGCGCCAGGATGTCCTGGAAGAGAGCAGAGGAGGAAAGTCAGGTCCTTCCAGGGGCATCAGGAGGGCACCTCTGCCATCCCCTGACAGCTCCCTCCTGGGGTCATTCACACAACCAGAATGGACTCTGCAGTGCGATTCTTGGGCAGCTGGATGGTCCAAAGGCCCCTCAGTGCTGCTGCCTCAAAGGAAAAGTAAAGAGGACTAAGGACAGACCTCCCTGTCCTCTCATTCTTTCCCTCTAGTTGGCCTGGAAAGTTGTGTGGAGAATTGAGATGCCCATCTCTGAAGTGGAGGACCCCCCAGCAGGCTTTGGAAATGCCCCTTCAGTTCCTGCGGGAAAAGAGAAGAGAGGTTGAGTGCTGGGTTAAATCTTGCAAGGGTGTGAGAAGAAGAAAGAGCTGAGCAAAGGGAAGTCAAGACATACTTCTCTGTCCTCCACCTTCTCAGCCCCTTTCAGCACTGCCTCAAACATCCTGTGCAGGATAGCACTGGGCACATCGCTGCTGAACTTTGGCCTCATGATGCTGCAGAGATGAAGGGGAGAGGGTTAGATGCTGCCTCCTCTGAGTCTCCCTTGCCCCCTTCTCCCTCCTGCCTGCTCTTCCCCACCCAGAGCTCCCCCTGGAATTCTGTCCACCACCCACCCCCACAACCCCGTCCATCCCAAAGAACCCCCTCACCTCAGCTGGAGGAGGGCCAGGGCCAGGCTCAGGGATTGATCCCTGAAGCGCTCCAAGTGCCCCAAGATGTCCTGCAAGAGAGCAGAGGAGGAAAGCCAGCTCTTTCGGGGGGAGGCAGCCAGAGAACTGCACCCTGAGATGCCCCCTAGCCCTCCGGTCTCCAAACTTGCTCACCTATCACCACGGGCTCCTCCCGGACTTGCAGCGGGGCCACCCTGTTCCTCTGCTGGCAGCTGAACAGGGCCCTGAACCACCTGAACCTAGAAGAGAGGAGTGGGGGGGGGAGAGAGTGACCCAGGAGCCCCAATGGGTGGGGGGTGTTTGTGTCTGTGCGGGGGGCCGAGAGAGGAAGGTGGTGGAGTCTTCCTTGGAACCAGAGAGACCCCCATGAAGGGGGAGAAGGCCGATGGCGTTGGGCAGCTGGAAAGATGCAAGATGGAGCCAGGGAGAGGTGCAGTGGTTGGAGGGCTGGACTAGGAGGACTGGGAAGAGCAGAGTTCGAATCCCCACTGAGCCATGAAGCTCCCTGGTGGACCTTGGGCCAGCCAGGCCTACTTTGCAGGGCTGCTGGGAAGATAAAAATTGGTGGCAGGGAGAACCATGAAGGCCACTTTGAGCTCCTGGGAGGAAAGTGGGCTAGGAATGTCCTAATAAAAGCGGATGATGAGAGGGGAGAGAAAAGGGGAAGGCAGAGAATGAGTTTGGAGGAGCTGAGCTCTCTAGAGAAGACTGGCCGGGTCAATTTCCAGAGAGCCAAGACTGTGCAAGAGACCCCAGGACTCACCCCCCCCCAGAGACCAAGACCAAGGGAAAGAATCCTACTTACTGTTAGGATATAGTTCCGTTCCACCTTAAATGGTCAGACATGATTATTGTGTGTCACATGCCTGTTTACTCCCAGCACTGTTCTCTCTGGGAACTTCCGTTTTGTATATAGTTTTTGGTTTGGCTGTTTTCCTGGACACGGATGCAAGCAGTCATGTTTTTCCTTTCTTCTGATCTACGTTGAATAAAGCTGTAAATATGCTCTCCTATCTGAATCTTCCGTTGTGGAGACTGCTGAAAAGGGTGTGCACGAGTCTTGGAATGTCTCTGAAGCTCGTGTCGCTAATTGACTGATGCTGTTCAACGAGAGACTGGGAGATCATCCGGAGGCGACGTGGAGGCCTGCTTGATGCCTTCGTCTCCCTGGCAGTATCCCAACACTTACAGCCTGTCCATTTTGTCCAGGAAGAAATCCCACCTTCCTCTCTAAACTAGCTGTCTAAAATGCCCATCCAAGCCTAACTTCTGACCCCAACCGCAGCCCTAAGCCTAAGCCTAACCTTAACTACCCCTCTATGTACAAAATAAATATATGCAAATATATACAAAATGTGCACAAAATAAAATAAAAAATATTAAAATAAAGAACAATAAGATAAAAGTGTTAAAACAAAAAACTAAAATAATAAATCAAATAAAAGTATTAAATGAAATGGGAAGCAAAATAAGAAACTGGAAAAAGAACAATAAACCGAACTCCTTCCCCAATCTCCGCCAACCGCCACCAACTCCTCTCTCCTCCACTCGCCTCACGCCTAACCCACAAAGGCCTCCTGCAAGTCGGTGGCTTTTTAGGGAGAAGCAACAGAGGTCACAAAGGAGGGCCGGTCCTTGTCATCGTGGCGACCCCCCCACCTGGCCCCTCCCGAGAGGTGATGCTCCTTCTTCAGAACTCGGAGGCCCCTGCTGTTCCGCCTGCAGCTGGGCTCCATCTTCCTCTCACATCCTTCTTCCTGCAGCCCCATTTCCAAAGGGAGGCCAGCCCCACATCCTCCCAGGCAGGCCAGGGGTCTCCATAGCGCAGGATTGGACCATGTGCTTTGCATGCAGGTCTTCCGTCCTGGGCGGCATCTCCGGGGGGGGGGCTGGGAATGTCTGCCCCCCCCCGTCCAAAACCCTGGAGAGCTGCTGCCAGTCAGTGCAGGTGCTGCTGAGGTTGCTGGGTCACAGGACTGGCTCTGTCCAAGGCAGCTTCCTAGGAATATTCCTCTTATGTTATAGAGCTGAAGAGGAGCAAGCTAAATAACTTCTGCACCAGACCGACCATCGATTCCTTTAAGAGACAATCTGGAAAAGTCCCTGTTTTTATACAACAAGGTGACCAGAATTATTATTATTTGTAGTATATTTGTTGATATTTTCTCAACTAGAAAAAAGATACACCTTAAAATTCAGTAGGCTGAAACTCTTAACCCGTAAAATGTTTAAAATGATTGTCTGAGTAAAAATTAGCATGCAATCCTAAGGCCCCTAGGACAAATCAGATCAACTCCTCCTCTGCTGGAGACAAGAGATTTGGTGTCAGAAGCAACCTCCCAACTTCTGGCTCCTCCGATGCCCTGGCCAAAGATGGGGGGGGGGGGGGGGAGATATGAAAGTGGTTGTATTACTCTGGAGCGTGAGTGGCTATCTCCAGTTTGGGGGGGGGTGTCGGGGGGGTGGACCTTCAAATGCGCTCCATTTTGGCTGGCCCTGCTGATGTCGGATCTCCGATGAAGAGAGGATCGAGGCATGGGAGGAGCCAGAAGTTGGGAGGTGGTTTCTGACATCTCTTGTCTCCAGTATAGGAGGAGTTGATCTGATTTCTCCTAGGGGCCCTTTGGATTGCAGGCCAAGGGCCTTAATTTTTAACTCAAACAATCATTCTAAACATATTACATGTTGATATCCTGCCTTTCTCCTTAAGAGAAAGACTCAAGGCAGCTTACACTTAAGACTGAAACAGCTAACCCCATGGAAAAAGTGTAATAATTTAAGAAACCATTACATATTAATGTAATTCATAGATATATCTGGTATCTTGGAAGCATACAGTACATTCCCATAGAGGCAGCATGCCACCAGCGCTTTCATGCAAAGCTGTCACTTCCCAAAGCCTCTTGGGACAAGGAAGTCTTGACCTGCCGGCCAAAAGACCCCAAGGTGGGAGCCAAGCTCATTTCTCCAGAAAGGGAAGTTCCAACAAATGCCGCTTGTTCACGTTAAACTGCAATTGTTGTTCATAAAGCAACTATTCAAGACTGTATGCAAAGTGGGCCTGCGTCATCTTCATGCCTGTTTCATCTGAATTTTGGGGAAGACAAATTGCTACACGGAGAGATTTAATAATGCAGAAAAAGTAGGATAGAATCTTTTAGATTTCCCCTCTACATTTGTGTAATTATTTTTATGTACTTTATACTAGTGTTTTAAGTGAAGCAACAAACGAGAAAGAAAAATAGTATCTTTTCAGACTGATTGATTGCAGTGGTTTGGCTTTCTGCCAAGTTGGCCCTGGGGAAGATGGGAGAGGAGCTCAACCCCTCAGGATTCGCAGGGAGTTCTGCTGACCTTTCGGGGGCTCAGGGCACAGAAATGGCTCCTCTTTCTTTAAGGGCCCCACAGACCTCATGGGACACCGGAACGGATTCCCTTGTTGCTTCTTTGAGTCAATGGAGGTTGCAGGAGGGCTGTTGATAAAACACACCCTTCACACTTGGTTACGTCTTAGGAGCACAGGCACAAATGATTGTGTGTGTGTGTTTGTAGTTGGACACTCCGCCTGTCTCTGAGCAGTGAGAGACTCCTGGGGTTCCAGGTCCATCTTTGATTTCCTTGAAACAAATGTCGGCAGAGACTGGGGTATCTTTAGGATCAATTGTGTTAAGGAAAATTCCGGGTTGAGAGGTCGGGGCACCAGTCGCCCGCAGGTCCATGCAGTCAGTAAAAGAAGGAAATTCCAGCCAAGCAATTTGGAGCAAAACAGCAGTCAATAGACTTAGATCCTTTATTTTTTATTATTATTAATTTTTTTTGAAGTTTTTAAGTCTACAAAATAACAGAAGGAAAGGTTTACACATATGTACATGTTAGTAACACAAAGCATCACACCACCCTCACACACACCCTACCATTGGTTCAACATTACTCGAAATGTGAGTTAAAATCTGACTTCCATCGTTGCTTGACCTTAATTCTATAACTTATCAAAAATCAAACATCAAAAATCAATACAAATCAGTTCACCCCCCCAAAAAAAGCAGACTCAGAGTCAGCTAACTTTAAAAAATAATAATGAAAGAGTATCACAGATTCCGTGTATGTAAATTCCTTTTGCACAGCAGCGTCCACATTTAGAACTCTGCAATTCTATGGTTATTATTATCCTGAAGGCAAAGGTGGCCCCAGCAGGGTGTGTCTGTATGTCTTTACTCTTTGCCGAAGCCTCTTGCAGTTCTCAGCCCTGCCCACTTGATGTCGCAAAAAAACCAGCATTCGCTAGCAAGCGTTGGAGTGAAGCCTTCTAAGGCTCTGCGGTCACCACAATAAAACAATAAGAGCCATGACTTAAAACTGCCACTGCTTTCCCTGAAGAGGAACTCACATAGTCTGCAAGACCGTTCCCCTCAAGCCCTGCCTCCTTGACATCCGATGCAACATCAGGTGTGGGTCAGGTGAGGTCACGACTTTCTGCAAAAACTCAGGAGGCAGCGATGGGCATCAATGGATTGCTGTGGGTTTGGGAGGGTCAGTATGGATGGGGCCTGGGAGCCTCTCCGCTTTATGCTTCAGTTGTATATTTCTTGTTGTTGTTGTTTAGTCATTTAGTCGTGTCTGACTCTTCGTGACCCCATGGACCAGAGCACTCCAGGCACTCCTGTCTTCCACCGCCTCCCACAGTTTGGTCAAACTCATGCTGGTCGCTTCGAGAACACTGTCCAACCATCTGGTCCTCTGTCGTCCCCTTCTCCTTGTGCCCTCCATCTTTCCCAACATCAGGGTCTTTTCCAGGGAGTCTTCTCTTCTCATGAGGTGGCCAAAGCCTTGGAGCCTCAGCTTCAGGATCTGTCCTTCCAGTGAGCACTCAGGGCTGTATATATGTGTAAATATGTGTGTGTGTGTGTGTGTGTGTGTGTGTGTGTGTGTGTGTAAATAAATCCATATAACCTAAAGACATCATAGTCTTTGCTGACCTTCCTTCTGAGAAAACACAACCTGGAATCTCCCACAGCTCAGAGTATTGTATGTTTGACAAAGTCCCCTGTAATATTCTTGTGGAGAAGCAGGTAAAATGTGGGCTGGACAAGGTAACTGCTAGGTGGATTTGTAGCTGGTAAACTGACTGAACCCAAAGAGTGCCACTAATGGTTCCTTATCACCCTGGAAAAAGTGACAAGTGGGGTGCCACAGGTTTCTGACCTGGGTGTATTATTGTTCAAAATCTTTATAAATGACTTGGATGAAGAAACTGGGAGGGATGCTCATCAAATTTGCAGATGACACAAAATTGGGAGAGGTAGCTAATGCTCCAGAGGACAGAATCAAGATGACCTTAACAGATTGGAGAACAGGGCCAAAATGAACAAAATGAATTTCAACAGGGACAAATGTAAGGTTCTGCACTTAGGTAGTGCAGAAAAGAGCCTGGAAAAGAGGAGACTGAGAGGAGATTTGAAGGGCCGTTGCATGGAAGAGGGAGCATGCTGTTTGTTTTCTCCTGCTCTGGAGGTTGGGACCCAAAACAATGGCTTCAAGTCACAAGAAAGGAGATTTCAACTCAACATCAGGAAGTACTTTCTGACAGCAAGGGTTGTTTGGCAGTGGAACAAACTCCCCTGGGAGGTTGTCAATGCTCCTTCCTTGGAGGTTTTTAAGTAGAGGTTGGATGGCCGTCTGTCCTGGATGAGATCCTTGCATTTCAGGTGGTTGGACTAGGTGTCCTTTGGAGTCCCTTCCAAACCTATGATTCTATGAGTGCATGTTAGTATGTGTAGCTTGGTATTGTGTATACCAGCAATGACCCTCCCGGTTGTCAAATGCCTGATCCGGTGCTCAGCGACATTCGGGATCTGGCTTCCATAATCTCCCTCCCAGACTGTGGCGTATCACAGTGGCCAAGAGGCAGGTTTTTAGAGTTCTGTGTGATCCTACTGTCCTCTGCCTCCTTGTCACGTGGGCGCTTTGCGAATGCTTGCAGCCCCGCTTTAGTTAATGAACTAATCCCTGCGTCTGTTCCGTTCACAGTGACGGAGGGGAATGCGTTTGGGCAGATGAGCTGCTGTTAGGAACACCCCAGAGGGATGCTGTCTAGAGAGCCTGCATTCAGATCACCTGCTTTCTGCATGAGGTGGTGCCCTTTGCCTTGGGGTAAGCCTCCTTGTCAGAGGGATGGAGTTGACACGATGGGCCCACGGCTCCCAACTGATTCCAGCTGCCCAAGAGGCAAGCATCCCGTCCATCCTCTCTGAGACCTGACAATCCCCTCCGATGCTCATCAGCTTGTTAAATAACAATTCGGCCAACCAATGGGATAGAGGCCGTGATGATGACAGCATTTTGGCCGGACTGAGATGCGGGGGGGGGGGGGGGGCAGAGCAGGGTTATCTAACAAGCCTCAGCTCTCGTTAACCATTTCCTTAATGTGACATCTGGTTCATTTAGGGGGGGAAAATTGCAGCTGCAGAATGCAGGTCTATTCTCGTCGGTCCTTTTCACAATGTCATTTTGTAGACTTCCGTGTTCCTTAATAATAATAATAATAATAATAATAATAATAATTTATTTATACCCCACCCATCTGGCTGGGTTTCCCCAGCCACTCTGGGTGGCTTCCAACAGAATATTAAAATACAATAGTCTATTAAACATTAAAAGCTTCTCTATACAGGGCTGCCTTCAGGTGTCTTCTCAAAGTCTGGTAGTTGTTTTTCTCTTTGACATCTGATGGGAGGGCATTCCACAGGGCGGGTGCCATTACCGAGAAGGCCCTCTACCTGGTTCCCTGTAACTTGGCTTCTTGCAGGGAGGGAACCGTTAGAAGGCCCTCGGAGCTGGACCTCAGTGTCTGGGCTGAATGATGGGGGTGGAGATGCTCCTTCAGTTATACTGGACTGAGGCCAGTACTGGGCTGGCACCCACCTGTAAGTCTCGAGCCATTTTGGGGTGGGCATCAGTGTCAAACGTGCCCACGGTCTCCCTTTGCCCGCCCTGCCGTGCCTTAGCTTTTGAACTGGACTCATGCCAGCAGCAGCAGCAATTAACGCTTCACATGCTGAGAAAAGGCATTTTCAATTAGATTTTTACTAGTACCCCAAGATGTATCAAATGGAGTCCTGATGCAACCCCCCCCCAAAAAAAAACCCCATACACTTAGAATGCAAGAATTCAGAATTTCATAGAATCTTAGAGTTGGAAGGGACCCCTAAGGGTCATCTAGTCTGACCCTCTGCAATGTGGGAATCTCAGCTAAAGCATCCATGACAGATAGCCACCCAATCTCTGCTTAAGAACTTCCAAGGAAGGAGGTTTTGTTCTGGATGCCAAAACTGAACAGAGCTCACAGGCCGCCCACCCCAAAACCTCCACTCCTGGTTACCCCTTGCTCTCAGCTTTGCTCTCAGCTTTCCCCCAGAGAATCCTGGGAAATGTAATGTGTTAAGGGTGCCAGGAAACTACAGCTCCCAGGATTCTTTCCTGGGGAGCGGTATGGAACGTGCTGTACATTTACAGTAGGAATGCAATCATTTTAGCAATGCAATTCAGGGTGGGGATGTGTGTTATTTTTTGTGCCACCGTGCTTAAAAAAAATTGGGAGGCATAAATTTTTGTCAATCTAATTCAAGTCATCTAGAGATCTGCCAGTAGAGTCCTGTGTACCTCCTGCCCACCGCTGGCATCAGGAATGTTCTCCCCTCTTAAATATAGGCTGTATTCCTGCCTCCCCAAGGGTTGGGGCTGAGCCAGCGGCCAGGGAGAGAAGGGGCTAAACTTCTGCCTTCTGTCTGAAGAAGAGCTGCGGAAGGGACATGGAAGGGACTTAAGGGCCTCGGATATAAGGTTACCAGGTTAATGCGCTAGATCAATGGGATAAAAAGGACTGACAAAACCCGGGACCAGGAGGAAGGGATGCTGGATGAAGATTGGATTGTTTCTATTTCTTTTTTTTATTACTAGGATTGTTTTATAAAATTGATGACTGTTAGAAAAATGTTGGAACGAAATTACTTGGCTCTAGCAAAAATGTTTAAAGAATTAGGCAAGAATATTATGGTCATGAGAAGTGGGTAAAAATAAGATTTAAGTTTTAAGGTTTTTTATAAGATAAGATGAAAATAGATCAAGGTAATGTAATGACAGAATATTATGAAATATGGAAAGGATTTGCTGCGATAATTAATAACTGGGATACAAAAAAAGGGAGGAGGAGGAGGTCAAAGAAAGAAGGTAATGAAAGTTGAAGATTTGAGAATGTTGGTTTTATTTTTGTATGTTTGTGGTGTATATTTGTTTTTTGAATTTGTATTGTTGGATGGGGTTTGCTTTCTTTTTCTCTTTTCTGTTTTTTCTTTTTTCTTTTTCTGCTTTGTCTTTTTCTGTAATTTAAAAAATCTTCAATAAATATCATTAAAAAAAAAAATAAACTTCTGCCTTCTGTCATCCGAATCATCCAGGCAGGCATTCCCCCACCCCACCCTAAATGGCGAATGACAGACTTTTCTGGAAATTCCCACGGAGGTAAGGTTAGCTGGGTGATAAAAATGGCGATTATCTTTTGCCCAAAATGCTTTGCTGCTTTTTCTACCAGTCAGTTTCAGTGCAGCTGGAGGGGTTCGGGCGCAGATTTAGATTTGTGCAGTTAAAGTGTGTCAAAGCGCGCCACTTTTATTTATTTATTTTATAAAAAGTGCTCCACCCCCACCCCCCGGTTTGGAAAACTAATTGAAGTGGGAAGCAGATAGCTCAATCGGGAGAGCATGAGACACATATTCACCCAGTGCTTTTCCAGCTGCACTGGCTCCCGGTGGAGTACAGGGTCAGATTTAAGGTGCTGGTTTTGACCTTTAAAGCCCTATATGGCCTAGGACCCATGTACCTACGGGACCGCCTCTCCCGGTCTGCCCCACAGAGAGCCTCAAGGTCCATAAATAACAACACTCTAGAGGTCCCGGGCCCTAAGAAAGTTAGATTGGCTTCAACCAGAGCCAGGGCCTTTTCAACACTGGCTCCGGCCTGGTGGAACGCTCTGCCTCATGAGACCAGAGCCCTGCAGGATCTGATTTCTTTCCATAGGGCCTGTAAGACAGAGTTGTTCTGCCTGGCCTTTGGCTTGGAATCAACTTGATTCCCTCCCCCTCTTTCTTTTTTCCTTTCTCCTCCTGTGATGAGGCTGCATTTTAATGTTTTAATGTTGTATTTTAATCTTGTTTTTTAAGTTGTATTTCAATCAACTTGTTTTTTATTATTGGTTGTTAGCCGCCCTGAGCCCGGTCTTGGCTGGGGAGGGCTGGGTATAAATAAAATTTATTATTATTATTAGGGTCAAGGGTTCGAGTCCCATGTTGGGCAAAAGATTCCTGCATGGCAGGGGTAGGGTTAGATTGCCCTCGTGGTCCCTTGAATGGTTCAATGGTTCTATGGCATGTAAACTGCAAGCCAGTCAGGATGGATGGATGCTCACTGTCCTATGATCTATAGCTGAGTGAGAAATTTGATTCTGTTGGCATTTTAATCCAGCTCTCCATCAGGGGAGCCAGAAGGTAGCTCCTCCTGCAAGTCAGCTATGCAGATCCAGGTGTGTGTATGTGTGTGTGTGTGTGTTAGTATTAGGTGCAGGCAGAGGGGCTCCCTGCCCCACCATTGCCTCCTCGGCCCCACCTGCCCCACCTCTCTGGGGTCAAACAGCCTGCTTTTGGAAAGCCCTACATTAATATAATAAAATGACCTATTGGCTGGGGATGTTTAATCTCCCCATGAAAATATTGGCAGATGTTCTTTTTGTAGATTAACAGGATCCTCGGCACACGCTTTTCAGATGAACCCAAAGCACAGACGCAGAAGGAGGGCTGGCTGGGGTTTGCTGGTGGCTTCATTTATGGCCAAGCCATCCAGGCTGTGAAGAGTGGAAACTACCATTCACAACACAACACTTGGGCAACTCAATAGCTTTCCTTGCAAGGATAGAACACAGGTATGGGTGTGGGTGTCACTGTAATAATAGCACAAAGCAAAGCTATTGCGAATTTGGACAGAATCTAGCCTCTAAATCTAGGAATGCAGATACAGAGAGCCAGTGTGGTGTAGTGGTTCAGAGCGGTAGTCTCGTAATCTGGTGAACTGGGTTCGCTTCCCTGCTCCTCCACATGCAGCTGCTCACACTTCTCTGAAGTCTGTCAGCCCCACTCACCTCACAGAGTGTTTGTTGTGGGGGAAGAAGGGAAAGGAGAATGTGAGCTGCTTTGAGACTCCTTAGGGTAGCGATTTTGACTAAACTGCAGGAGGCGGTGGAAGGCAGAAGTGCCTGGCGTGCTCTGGTCCATGGGGTCACGAAGAGTCAGACATGACTAAACGACTAAACAACAACAGGGTAGTGATAAAGCGGGATATCAAATCCAAACTCCTCCTCCCCTCCTCCTCCTCCTCCTCCTCCTCCTCCTCCTCCTTCTTCTTCTTCTTCTTCTTCTTCTTCTTCTTCGTCCTGCTTTCTTTTGTCTTGGTCAGCCCACACCTGGAGTCCTGTGTCGAGTTCTGGGTGCCACAATTTAAGAAGGATGTTGACAAGCTGGAAGGTGTGCAGAGGGCAACCAAAAGGATCAAGGATCTGGAAACCATGCCTGATGAAGAACGATTGAAGGAGCTGGGTATGTTAAGTTTGGAAAAGAGGAGGCTGAGAGGTGATATGAAAGCCATCTCCCAATATCTGAAGGGCTGTCCCATGGAAAATGGAGCAAGCTTGTTTTCTCCTGCTCCAGAGGAGTGGATCCAAACCAGTGCATTCAAATGACAAGAAAGGAGATTGTGACTAAACATTAGGAAGAACTTAGAGGAGGAGAAAACCTTGTCTCTACCCACTTGGTCTGTGCCAAGCATAATTTTATAAATTTCCTTCATATTGCCTCTTACCTTTTTTTCCTAAATTTAAAAGTCCCAAATGCTGCAATCTTTCCTTACAGAGGAGTCACTGCCTCCCCTTTATCATTTCGGTTGTCATTTCCTAACAAGTTTAATTAATAATAATAATGTCAATATATACATTTATTATCCTTGCACTTATTTAAGAATGTATACATCCATAGAAGAGAGAATCTCTGTCAGATTAGGAACAGTGGAGCTGAAATGTAGACACGGGATCTCAAAAGAGAATTTGCACTACACCCTTTTTTTGCACCCCCCATTGGAGAGAAGTCAACTCTGCACCACGTTGGTGCAAAACCTAGTGGGCCATGAAGTTGGTTTGTCAACATTCTGTTCTGGAGATTTGCTGTGACGATGAGTGACGAAAATCTCCGTTCACGGCAGATGCACCTTAATTTCTCAGCTCGGATATCGACAGCTGTTAATTGAAACATGCAAGACAGGATTGCTCAGTTGGATTACACAACTTTCATCATGCAGTTGTTTTTACCGCAACTTTTCGCCAGGAATCTGCGTGGACATTTGGAAAAGCCTGTGGAAGGAGACGCACCATTCCGTTTGCAAAGCTTTTGCCCCTGAGAGATCTGAAGAAGCTACTTGTTCCCTTTTATCGACAACTGTTGCCAGAAAAGAAAGCCACACAACAACAAAACATTAAACACAATGCACGAAGGTTCTGCATCGTACAGCGCGATCCGTAATAATTAAACCAACAAAATCTGCAGGATAATTGTGGAGCCTCTAAAACAAACATCCTTTCTGGGTCCAGGACCAACAGAGAAAAGCGTGATTAATAGTCAGAACAGTTTCTCTTCAAAAGACAGGCTGCTTAATTGTTTGCTTAGCCATTTGCCTCTTAATGCTTGATCTAGGGGACATTTCCATACATTATGGTGCCGGATTTCCTGTCCAATTCATATGGGCACATCTGACTTTGAAAACACAGCCTGCTCCATCATTGTGAAATTACAGCTGCTTACCATCTGCCTGAAATTGCAGGGGGATCTGCTTCCCTGGGTTTTAGAACTTAAGACAGTAGTAGTTAAGTAATGGAGACAGACTGTGCTGAAGTAAGCAACTTCCAGCCAGCAGCGCCTATCAGTCAGTTATCTCAGTTTCACTGGATGCATAAGAACCTAAGGAGAGTGTGCTGGGATCAGGCCAGTGGCTCATCAACAGATGCTTGTGGGAAACCCGCAAGCAGGATTCGAACACAAGAGCAGCTCTCCCCTCCCGTGACTCCCAGCAACTGCTGTTCTGAATGTGGAGGCAGAGAAGAGTCATCCTGGCTGGTAGCCATCGATAGCCCTCTCCTCCATCAATTTGTCCAATCGTCTCTGAAAGCCATCTAGGTTGCTGGCCGTCACTGCCTCCGGTGGCAAGGAGTTCCATGGTTTAACTATGCACTGCATGAAGAAGTCATTTCTCTGTCCTGAATCTCTGCTGGATGTTCATGAGTTCCAGAGGAAGAAGAATATTTCTCTCTCCACATTCTCCGTGCTGTGCATAATCGTATAAACTTGTGTCAAGTCGCCTCTTCACTCGCCTTTCCTCCGAACTAAAAAGTCTCAAATGCTGCAATCTCCCTTCGATCATTTTGGTTGCCCTTTTCTGAAACTGTTCCAGCTTTGCAGCATTGCATCAGGAAAAGGCTGAACTCGCCGTTCCCTGGAAAGTTCCTGAGACAGTCTCTTTGCAGAATGACATTATAAACCCTTACAATTCGGGACTCTCTCAATTTTAATTGTTATTCAAAAGCCACTTCTTCAAATGCCAATATGTGAAATTATCCTGGGTGGGAAACATCAAGTTGAGAAGCTGTTTCTTTCTCCTTACCTCTGCCCCATTTGGTCCGTTTCTTCCTGGCCTCCTTTGCAAACGTGGAAGGTCGGCGGGTCCCAGCGATGCCATCCAGCCTGACCTCTGCTAATTGAACAGCCTCCAGCCATATCTATATCCAGCACCGCTTAAATCGTTCTTGGCTGAAACGTTTGTCTGCGAAGGTCAGCTGGCCTTGCTCTGATGGCTGCGGGTAATGGAGAATCTGTCTGTTCTGATGAAGATTTAAGCGGCGGTGCTTACAATAAGACCTGTCTCTTTTTTTTCTAATTTAGATTTCCCTGCCTTCAGCTCCTGGCTCTTGGCTGTTCTTTACTGCTGTCTTCTGCTGGGTGAAGGATTGGACCAGCATGTGCTAAACTTTTTCTTTGCGAAGGTTTGTACATATTGCTGTTGCCAGAGGCGCTGAGAACATGGCTCCAGAGGGCACCAAGAATTGGGAACCGACTGCCCCTAATCTACCACCATTTTCTCTTTGGGTGAAGCACCCAACATGGTCAGGAACAGCTGGGTGACAGAATGAATTCTTGCTCTACACTGGAACATCTCTCTCTACTGTGTCTCTTGGAAAGCTGTGTTATGCGCAGTTATTTCAGAAACGCACTTACCCAGGTTCTGTCTCCTTGGAATGAAGGTCAGCAGAGACTGTGGTGTATTTAGGATTTATGTGTTTGTGGGAGATTTGCAGTCCTATCTAATAATGTACATTCCTGCAAGTTAGCATGTGAAGGGGTTAAGGCCACAGAGCCACAGGCTGATTGGCAGGCCCAGACCATAGAAATGGAGCTGGTAGAAAGGGCTCTGTGTGATGTCATTTCCCCATTCCTCCTGAGGGGGAAGGAGCATATAGTACCGTATTTTTCTGTGTATAAGCCGCCCTCTATTTTTTAGGACTCAAAATTAAGAAAATGCACTATGCACTATCTGTGTATAAGACAACTTCTTATTTTAAACTTCAGAAACTTAGGAAAAAATATAGTCTTATACACAGAAAAAATATGGTAATTCCTATTCCTTTCTCTCAACCCTTTTCTCTTCAACCAATGATGGGAGCAGAAGTATGTATATCCAGCTACTGTACTCCAGCCTCAGGCAAATGCTTATAAATGTAAGTCTCTTGCCTGCGTTTATTTTACTGCTGTTGCTGCTTACTCATGACTATGAGTAAGTAAATCATATTTTAAACTTACATGTGCAGCAATGCAGAAATTAGAGGGGAATGTGCCTAAAATTCATATATTTGTGAAAATAACATATATAAATGCCTTATATCAGTCAGTACCGCCTACTAAAACTTGTTTGCTAAGAGAAATTTGCACCAACATTTTCATCAGGATTTTTGCAAACTGCTGCAGCAATATGCACTGAATTTAAAACTGGAAAAATGAGAAACTTAGGAAACCAAAATGGAGAGCTGTGCCTATCCCTAATCTGGAGCAGATCTCTCCATCTCTTTGCATCTCAGGCAATGCCAACTTTTGCAAGGTGACCCCCCCCCCAAATCCTGCTACCGGCCATATGTCTGTTATTCAGGGTCCCATAATAAGCATCAGGGAAGTGGAAGTAATGGTCCCAGGTGTCCTGGGTCTATTCCAGGGCAGATCCTTGGCTGCATGGAAGAATATGAGAATGTGAAGGAAGCAAACAATTACTATATTGTGCAGGGTTGAGAAAGGCACACAGCGTGGGTTGCTATCTTTGGACCTGAAATGCCATGAAGGCTCCTGGGTGACCTTGAAGCCAGTCACTGCCTCTCTGCCTGGCCTAACCTACCTCACAAGGGCGTTGTGAGAATTAAATGAGGAAGAAGGAGAGCCACCTTCAGCTCCTGTGAGAAAAATGGTGCCATACAAATGCAATAAACAATTAAATAGTCACTCTGATGCCTTGAAAAGAGCTCAGATCAGATTTAGCAGAGTCCTAAATTGCCTCTTTAATTGCCAGCGACAATGCATCCTGCATGATGATTCTCCTGGGGTACCACCCATTGTCTTGTCTTGCTCTGTGGGTGGACCCAACAAGGAAGTCTGGGGAAGTGCTGGCAACTGAGCGATGCAGAGAGCTGTTGCTATTTTAGTTTCTTCTTCTTCTTCTTCTTCTTCTTCTTCTTCTTCTTCTTCTTCTTCTTCTTCTTCTGAGGCCGAGAAGAAAGAACGGGCAGCGGCGTGTCCTTCTCCTGTATTGAGCCAACTGCAGCTGGCTGCCTTGGTTGGCAGCCCAGGGAGAGGAAAAAGCCGATGCGCTCACAGAGCGAGAGAGTGATGATGAATTGTCACTGTCTCCTTGGTGAGCGATCGCTTCCCAAATCCACTTTGTTCTAGCTTTTTAACAGCAAAACAGAGCTGCCGCGCACTCAAATTCGGTTTTTCATTTGGCCACGCAGCTGTGTGCTCCTGGAATCTCATCAGTTCTGCTGGGATAGGAAATAAACCCATTTGCAAGGCATTTGGACCAAGCGTTTCCCAGTATCCAGAGCCAGGAGTTTATGCATTCATTTCCACCCCTTTCTAAAAAACAAAAAACAAAGAGGGTAGTGAATCACAAACACAGAGGCATACACGCCACTCGCATGTTCAAAGCAGGGCTTGTTGCTCGCTGATCAGTCCTCGCAGATTCTCAACCCCAAATCCCACTTCCATTGGGCTTCTCATACATGACACCAGCCCACATTAGAACATAGGGATGGCCATCTAGAACAGTATCCTGCTGTCTCAGTGGCCAACCAGTTGCCTTTACTGAAACTTGCATTCAGGATCCGAACACAAGAGCCCTCTCCCCTCCTGCAGTTTTTACCAACTGGTGTTCAGAAGCATCACTGCCTCCAACCACTGAAGCAGATAACAGCCATCATGCTTAGTAGCCATTGATAGCCCTCACATCCTCCATGAATTTGTCCAATCCTCTTTGAAAGGATGACTATATGTCATGGATGCTTTGGCTGAGATTCCTGCATTGCAGGCGGTAGGACTAGGTGACCAACTTGACAGTTCTATTATCCTAAAGACATCTAGGCCGTTGGCCGTCACATGACTATTGCAGGCACTACAGTGGTACCTCGGGTTAGGAATTTAATTCGTTCTGGAGGTCCGTTCTTAACCTGAAACTGTTCTTAACCTAAGGTACCACTTTAGCTAATGGGGCCTCCTGCTGCCGCTGTGCCGCCAGAGCACGATTTCTGTTCTCATCCTGAAGCAAAGTTCTTAACCCAAGGTACTATTTCTGGGTTAACGGAGTTTGTAACCTGAAGTGTCTGTAACCTGAAGCGTATGTAACCCGAGGTACCACTGTATATAACAACAACACAACAACAACATATTATTATTATTATTATTATTATTACCCCACATATCTGGCTGGGTTTCCCCAGCCACTCTGTGCAGCTTCCAACAAAATATTAAACTACAATAATTCATCAAATATTAAAAGCTTCCCAAAACAAGGCTGCCTTCAGGTGTCTTCTAAAAGTCAGATAGTTGTTTATTTCTTTGACATCTGGTAGGAAGACATTCCACAGGGCTGGAGCCACTACCAAGAAGGCCCTCTGACTGATTCCATGTACCTTCGCTTCTCACAGGGAGGGAACCGCCAGAAGGCCCTCGGAGCTGGACCTCAGTGTCCGGGCTGAATGATGGGGGTGGAGACACTCCTTCAGGTATACTAGACCGAGGCTGTTTAGGGCTTTCAAGGTCAGCACCAACACTTTGAATTGTGCCTGGAAACATACTGGCCAATGTAGGTCTTTCAGGACCAGTGTTATGTGGTCTTGGCGGCTGCTCCCAGTCACCAGTCTGGCTGCCACATTCTGGATTAGTTGCAGTTTCTGGGTTACCTTCAAAGGTAGCCCCACGCAGAGCGCATGGCAGTTGTCCAAGCAGGAAATAACCAGAGCATGCACCACTCTGGCATGTGGGCAGGTAGGGTCTCAGCCGGCGTACCAGATGGAGCTGTTAGACAGCTGCCCTGGACACAGAATTGACCTGCATCTCCATGGACACCGGTAAGTCCAAAATGACTCCCAAAATGACTATATACTGCAGCTATGTTTGGCTGTTAACCACCATTTTTTCTTCCTGATCTGAGAATGTCCTGTCCAGATTTTGAGCTAAACATTCTCAGTGAGGTCTCTTGGGCCTGGGCTCCTTGGCAGGAACTTGGCTGGAAAAAGAGAACTGCAAGCTGTGCCTTCTTTCGATAAACCACCTCTAGCATTGCATTGATTCCCAAGGTGACAAATCACCAAGCTCCCGTTCCTCAAGCCAATGAGACCTTCTGAGCTGGGGCTCTGGGCTGTGCGTCCCCATTTCTGGCCATTATGATCTTGCACTGAGTCATCGAAAGAGAACTGGCATGCTTAGTAGGCCAGTAAACCTTTGAACGCCATCAATTCTTTCCAAGTTGGCTGGTGTTTAGGCAGGCTTGCCTGCCAACCCAAAATGCAGGACAGCCCAGATGACATTAAATGAGAATTAGACAAAAATCCATGGAGGAGAGGGCTTCGATTGGCTATTAGCCACTGTGGCCGTGCCTCTGCCTCCACAGTTTGAGGCAGCAATGTTTCTGAATAGCAGTGGCTGGGAATCGCAGGTGGGCAGAGTGCCCTTGAGTTCAAATCCTGCTTGTGGACTTACCAGAGGCATTTGGTTGGCCACTGTGAGAACATGATGCTGGATTAGTTGTAGAATCAGAGTCGGAAGGGACCATGGGGGAGGGGGGGGTCATGTGGTCCAATCTCCTGCAATGCAGCAATCTCTTCCCCCCAACATGGGGCTCAAACTCACAACCCTGCGACTCTGAGATTAAGAATCTCATGCTGCAGTGACTGAGCTAACCCAGCTTCTGTCCTGATCTGCCAGCGAGGCTCTTCTTACAGCATGTCCTTATAATACCCCAATTCTGCTGGTAAAGGCCAGACACCCACAGAATCACACCAGAGGGATATTTATAATGTCTGCCTGCCTCTTTATGTCTCGGCTGAAGCTCCAAATCCAGAGGTTCCAAAGGGCTTGAGAGGCTGAGATCTCAACAAGGAGGGTCTCCCAGGGGGTGGCCAGAATCGTAGAATCATAGAATTGTTGAGTTGGACGGGATCCTGAGGGTCAGCTAGTCCAACCCCTGCAATGCAGGAATCTCAGCTAAAGCATCCGTGACAGATGGCCTTCCAAGCTCTGCTTAAAAACCTCGAAGGAAGGAGAGTCTACCACCTCCCAAGGGAGACCCTGTTCCACGGTCGAACAGCTCTTACTGTCATAAATTCTTTTCACATGTTTAGTTGGAATAGCCTTTCCTGCCACTTGCAGCCATGAGTTTGAGTCCTACCCTCCAGAGCAGGAGAAAACAAGCTTGCTCCCTCTTCCATGTGACAGCCCTTGAGATATTTGAAGATGGCGCTCATATCTCCTGCCAGTCTCTTCTTCCCCAGGCTAAACATACCCAGCTCCTTCATAAGGCTTGGTTTCCTGTCCTAAATTCCCATCACCCCTAGAGCTTTTCGTTTTGCGGGCTGGTTTTAAGTCTCAAATAGCATGTGCCTATTCACCTTGCCGACAAAGGTCCGTCTAGTTAAAGCTCTGGTTTTCCCAGTAGTGATGTATGGAAGTGAGAGCTGGACCATAAAGAAGGCTGATCGCCCAAGAATTGATGCTTTTGAATTCTGGT